ATACGAACACGTGGACCTACATTGCCCATTTTTAATACCAAAAGTCCTGCAGACATAACATAAATTTGAGTAAAATTTTATCAATCTAATTCAATTTGTTCGGACGCTAGTGTGATTTCCACAGACGGACAGACGGACAGAAACTTAATATACCCTCCATTCTATGGTGGAATTTCAGCGTAATAGTGTGATTTCTTTATATTTGGCTGGAAAGCCACAAGTGGCTATCGTTAGAGCACTCCAGCATTTAAATGTGAATAAATCTTTTGTGTCTCGTACCATCGCTCGTTACCGTGATACCGTGGTAGCGTAGCTCGACGTCACGGAAGTGGACGAAAGAAAACAGCAACATCTGCAGAAATGTTTGGAAAAGTAAAGAAGAGACTTGATTGAAACACGCGTCGCCGTGGCTGAAAAATGGCTCGTGGGCTGAACATATCGCAATATTCCATTCGGCAAATATTGAAAAATATGCTCGGGGTAAAGCCATTAAAATTCCAAAAAGTGCAAGAACTAACACCGCAACAGAAAGGAAATAGAAAAATAGACTCAAAAGAGGTAAAGAGTTGCTTCGCTTGGCCAAAAGAGGTGAACTTCCGAATTTGGTTTTCTCCGTCTCCGATGAGAAAACATTCGTTGTTCGGCAGCTTGTAAACAAACCTAATGATCGTGTTTACTGGCCAAAGAGGTCAACTAAAAATGTGCACCTTCGGTTGGCCACCAGAACTTAAGCGCCGGCCATGGTGATGGTGTGGGCCGCCATAACAGCCGATGGTCGCTCCCCGCACGTATTAATCGACATCATGGCATCAGAATAAATACCGAATATTATCGTGAAAATATTCTGGAGGGTGTATTAAAACCTTGCGCACGCAAACATTTTGGCCGCAGACCTTGGACATTCCAACAGGACATTCACTCAGGACCATCGCACTCAACACGCCTTACCCAAGAATGGTTACAAAATGAGGTTCCAGCGAAAAATGGCCACCAAAATCTCCGGATACCAATCCCTTGGACTATTGTGTCTGGAGTATTTTTGAGAGCAAAGTTGTTACTAAAAAATACCAAAGTGTCGATCACCTCAATCAAGTGCTTCGCCGGTAATGGGCCAAAATACCGCAGAGCAACATTCGGCAAAATTTGCCACCAGAACTCAAGCGCCGGCCATGGTGATGGTGTGGGCCGCCATAACAGCCGATTGTCGCTCTCAGCTCGTATTAATCGATCGTGGCATCAGAATAAATGCCGAATATTGTCGCAAAAATATTCTGGAGGGTGTATTAAAGCCTTGGGCACGCAAACATTTTAGTCGCAGACCTTGGACATTCTAACAGGACTTTGGACTTTCTAACAGGACTCAGTACGCGCCACCCAAGAATGGTTACAAAATGAGGTTCCTACCTTCATTTCCAGCGCACAATGGCCATCAAAATCTCCGGACGGGACTATTGTGTCTGGAGTATTTTGGAAAGCAAGGCTGGCACTAGAAAATACCAAAGTGTCGATCACCTCAAGTGAGCGCTTCGTCGGGAAATGGACCAAAATACCGCAGAGCATCATTTGAGCAGCGTGTGACGGTTTCATTGGCCATTTGAAGGCCATAATTCGTGGCAAAGGTTACCTATTCGAACAAATTTAAACTTATTCTAAAATTTGATGTTAGTTCCGAATTTTTTTTCTTTCATTCAATTAAATTTAAAAAAATGTAATAATTATGGTGTTTGACTTTGTTGCAGTTTTTTTTTCTTGTCCTGGTTGTCAAATTATTAAATCGTTAAATTCAGCTGCAATATACCCAGCAGAATTTTTAGCTTATACAATTTTTAACATGAATATCGCTGTAAAATTGTATCCTAAGCTCTAAATACAACTAAGTTTATTATATTTTACTGAATTTCTAATTTCATCCCTCAAAAAAAAAAAAAAAAAAAAAACGTAATTAATAACAACCGAATGTCCTGTCTAAACATAAAACTTCTAAACATATCCTTTAATAAAACACATTTCATAGTTCATTTTTTTCTTTGAACTTTAATGGCAACTCAAATGTAAACTTTGGACATTCGTTACTCCCATATACAAGCACGCACGAATACTCATACTCACTCGCACACATGGAAACCACTGTGTGCGTGTGACACGCATACGAATTGTACACTTTATTTACAACATCGTTTCGTTGTACATTCTTTATTTACTGAGCAGCGCGTGCCAACATCTGAGGTGGTGGCAAAGTAAGTATTTTCCCCCTCACAAAAGTACTTCAGAATAAAATATAGGGTAGCATGGCAGCCCGACAATAATAGCAATAATAATAATAATAATAGCAATGGAATAGACCAGTGAACAACAAAAACCCACTCATACACACACACCCGGACAGAAAACATTGTATTACACAGAAAATGAAACGAAATCATGTAGTCACGACAAATTGTTGCGAAATTACGGGGTACCAGAAAAAAAAACAAAAACATGTTTTGTTGTTGTTGCTTTTTGGAGGTGGGGATACATTTTCGTTCTATGTTTATTAGGGTGGGACGGAACACTTTTTGAACAGGAAATAAAAAAAATTGGAAAAAATTCCAACTTTATATAAGAGTCATAATATTAGGACTCTTCACTCCTCTAGCTTAATCTTCTTTCTATTTTTCAGTTTTTATACCCTCAACCATAGGGTATATTAGGTTTGTCATTCCATTTTCAACACCTCGAAATATACATTTGAGACCCCACAAAATATATATATTTTTGATCAGAATAAAATTCTATGTCGATTTAGTTATGTCCGTCCGTCTGTCTGTCTATCAGTCTGTGGAAATCACTCTAGCTTCCGAACGAAATGATGTAGGTTGATAAAATTTTACTCAAATATGTATTATGTCTGCAGGAGTTTTAGTAGCCATGTAGGTCCACGTCTTCGTATAGCCCCCATATAACGGTACCTCCCTATATGCGGTATTTTGATGATTTTAGCGACATTATTTACCGGAATTGTTTCAAATTTCGCATTTGAAGTTCGTAATAGATACTACAGCCTATGACAGAAAATTGTCTGTACAGGTACACGTTTTATAACACCCACGGTACCTCCCTATATTCGGTATTTTTATGATTTTAGCTACATTATAAACAGATTTTTTTCAAGTTTCGCATTTGAATATTGTAATAGCTTGTGACAAAACTCGCCTATGTAGGTCCACGTCGTCGTATAGGCCTTAACAGAATTTTTTTTTTTTGAAAATTTGCCAATGTACGTTTATTAAAAAATTGACTTGTATTATTATTATTGAAATGTCGACCCTTTGTCGGGATTGTACCGAAGGAGTAGGCCAATATTTTCTATTTTGCATTATTGAAATTATCACCCCTTTGTGGGGAGGTACCAAAAAGCGGTAGGTCGATTTGTATAATTCATTAATACAAAGTTTGGAGGCTTATTTCATATTTTATGATCGTTTTGGTAATTCAAAATTTTGACCCTTTATGGGGGAGGTACCAGTGGCAGTGCACTGATATCTATCATTTTCCCAACATATCCTGTGTTAATAGAATTATTGAGATGTGTCGATTTTGGAGGAAATCTGATGCTTTTTTTTATGAGCGTTTCAGTTATTCAAAATGTTAACCCTATGTGGGAGAAGTACCAGAAGGAGTGGACCGATACATCTAATCTTCGCATGAGGTCTTCTGTTAATAAAAATATTGTGATGTGTGAAATTTGATGAGAATCAGATGCTTAGTTCATATTTTATGAGAGACATTATTATTCGAAATGCTGACCTTTTGTGGGGGAGGTACCATAAAGAGTAGACCGATATATCCCATCTTCACACCAGGTCTTGTATTAATAAAAGTATTATTATGTGTGATTTTTGAAGACACTTTGACGCTTATTTCACATTTTATTATGGTTATAATTATTCCAAAAGTTCACCCTATGTGCGGGAGGTACTTGATGGAGTGCACCGATATCGCCCATTTTACCACCTTGCACATACAAAAATATTGGGTTTTTTCTATAAAGTGGATAATTTTATGTGACAATTTTGGCCTATCGTGCACATCAGCCAGGCAGACAGACCGACGGTCACCTCTAGAACGGCTCCAAATGTCTTGAAACAGATTTGGTCCAAAGAGACCTAGGATAAAAAAACAGTTATTTCGATGAGGTACGTTTTGGCCATATCAAATGATATACACCCTCTATAGCCATATGTCCGATGGTATAAAAAAACTCTTTATCAAACCTCCGAAAATCTCGCTCGAATTTGTACAAAGAGTGAAACTTGAATTCGAGCGAGTGCACGCATGGGAGCATAAAAAATCGAGCAAACTCATGTTGTCGATGTCGCTCGAATAGGAGTGAGCATATTTTTCTCGTTTATGAGTGGCAATAAAACTCGTTTGAAAATCGAGCAGATTTTACTCTTACAAAGCATTCTTTTAGTTTTTCTCATACAATCTGTGTACTTCTATATATTTGTATTTTTCTGTACAAGATCACCTTAAACTTCCCCACTTATTTCCCCTCTCTTCACAATCCCCCCCTCTTCTACAGAACACTGCAACATCAAAACCATTTGCTGTTGTACACACACGTTCATACAAATCAGAACACAAAATAATTTTGCTACTCATTTTCACTCTATGAGCAAACTCTTTCTCTATTTTGAGCGATTTTGATTTCACTCTAATTTTTCAAACAGGAGTAACTTGGGAGTACTTCCACTCACAACATAAGAGTGAAGAGTAGACTTCGTATAAAAAACCCACTCTTCGAAAAATCCTGCTAGCGAGCAAGTTCTCTGTTCTTTATAGTATAATTGAATAATATTATAAAGAGTAATGCTACATTACAATGTATAAGTATTTGTATAGTATAGCATAGTTTGATAGCGCGAACAAAAACCCAGAAGAGAAAAACAGCGGGGTATGTTTTGTAGTGTAATTGTGGATTTTGCAACATTTTATCCAGAGATTTGCGGCAATGTTCTTTAACGTATTTGCTTTTGTTGAGAGGTTGAGAAAATTCGAATCTATTAAAATTGAACAGCGGTGTGACAAACTGCAGGATTTCGAACACATTGTACTCTGACTCGAAAATGAGCTCCTATTCGAGTGACATAGAAAAATAGAGCATATTTTTATATTTTAATGAGCAATAGTACTCCTGCTCTCTTAATTCAATACATATGCAATAAATATCTTTCGCCCACCCACGAACAATTTGAGAGTAACTCTCGCTCTCTCGTTGATTATCAAAATTCAGTTTTGCTTATCTAATAAATTGTGAAATTGGGTATATTTTTCTTAGATATAAACATCAATTTTTAATATTTTGCATATGAAAATAATTTGGTTTAAGAAGCTTCGAGTCAAATTAAGAAAATGATTTTTGGAAAAAAAAATTAAATGAGATATGAATTAATGCGAAAATTGTATTTTATCCTATTTCCAGCTAAATAAAAATTATATTTAGCAAGCAAAATCAGAAAAAAATGTTTATTCAGCAAGCAAAATAATGAGAAAATTTATTTGCATTTGATGGATAAGGATAAAATAAATTCAGCAACAAATAATTGTCATTCAACAAGCAAAATAAGGGCTAAATAAATAAATATAATTTAATTGTTTTTTTTTTTTTTCATATAAAAACATATCTCATCATATTCATCGAAATCAAATCTGAATGCAACTTAAAAACACCAAACTATTGAATTTTTCTCAGAGAGAGAGAGAAAGGTAAAGAGAAAATTACGACAAAAAGGGAGTACATTAAAGAGAGAACAATACATACGTCTCTAAAGAGATGATTTTGGTGCTGTATTGGATGAAGTTGGTGCTGAAGTGAATTGACAACGACAGTTGTTGGCTGTGGTTGCAATGGTGTTGGTGGTGGTTGTGGTATTGGTGGTGGTAGTAGTTGTGGTATTGGTGGTGGTGGTGCTTGTGGTGCACTTGAACGATTACTATTAACAATGGTATTAGTTGCAATACTATTATTATTGTTGTTGTTGTTGCCGATGCAGTTGTTGTTGTTATTCTGAGCGCTGTGATGATGGTGGTTATTAAACTGCATTGTTATGGCCTGATACTGTTGCGCTGCCTGCTGCTGCTGATGATGATGACTGGCACAGTTCATAAATTGAGGTGTTGCCATTGCTGGACCCGTGGCCGCTGTAACAGGTGGCGGTGGTGGCGGCAACATAATCTGATGTGTTGCTGGTCCAGCAGCAGCTGCTGTGGCAAAACCAGCCGGATTGCCATAACCATTCAATATCACCAACTGGGGCCCATTGCCGGGAGAGGGGGTCAACATGGCCGAGCCTGGGGGATTTATTAGAGTCATGGTTGGGGGTGGTTGCTGTGGTTGTGGGTGTCCAGCATTTATGTTGGCCATATTGTTTAACATTTTGTTCGACTGACTTGTGTTGGCATTTACACCATGATGATGGTGATGGCCATTGGAGGAACAGCCGCCGCCACCGCCACCGCCGTTGCCATCATTAATCATTTTGCTTTTGGCAAATTCAATGCGAATGGAACCACGATCCGATGAGAGCAAATATTTACCCTGCAACTGTTGCATGGCTGTGGCAGCACTGGCGGCATCTTTGAATTCAATAAAGGCCACCGGATGATTTGCATTGGATGTGGACGATAATGATGAGACCAGGGAGGCCGAGGACAAAGAAGATGAGGATGGTGATGGTAGGGTTGTTATACTTCCACCATTTTGAAAATACTGCTGTTGCTGTTGTTGTGCTCCGGCGGCTAGCGAATTTGTGCTGCAACTTGTTGCTGCCAATGATGTTGGCGTGGTGTTGCAATTTTTATCATTGTTGCCATTGTTGTTGTTGTTGTTGCTGTTGCTGTTATTGCCACTGCCATTGGCTGCTGTGGTATTATTATAATTGGTATTGGTGGTGATAGAAGTAGAAGTAGTAGAAGAAGTGGTGATGGTGTTGGAAGTGGTAGTAGAAGTGGTGATATTGTGCGTACCTTTTGTGTGCATTCGTAGGCGACAAAAGCCAGGCATACTGTGCATATTTTTTTTTTAATTTTTTTGTTGGTGGTGGTGGTAATTATTTATTTATAATTATGAGTAATTGTTTTTGGTGGTGTTTGGTTAACAGTTTTATTTTTTTAAAGAGATACAGATATTTGTTGGTTTATTTTTTTTTGGTGAAGAGAACAACATAAAAAAAATATTTGAAATTTAAGGAATTAGTTGGTATTGCTTTTTAAAATGTTATAAAAATAATAATAATATTTTTTTTTTAATACAAAAAAAATACAGGATGAGATAAAAAAAAACTGCAAAAAACTTCAGACTGCTGTCATTTCTAAGTCACTCATCCGACCGCGGTTAAAATTATTCCAGTGACAGCTCATTATATTGTTTACAAGCGTACAAAAGCATTTTGGTGAGAATTTTCCCGGAAAAAAGTTATCCGTGCTGGAATTTAAGCGTGATAGTGTGATTTCTTTATATTTGGCTAGAAACCCCCATAAGTGGCTATCGTTAGAGCACTCCAGCATTTAAATGCGAATAAATCTTTTGTGTCTCGTATCATCGCTCATTATTTTGATGCTGGTAACATAGCCCGACGTCAAGAAAGTGGATGTGGTCGGAAGAAAACAGCAACTCAGCAGAAATGCTTCGAAAAATAAAGAAGCGACCAGCGTCGCAGTGACCGAAAAATGGCTCGTGAGCTGAACGTATCGCAATATTCCATTCGGCAAATATTGAAAATGAGCTCGGGGTAAAGCCATTGAAATTCCAAAAAGTGTAAAAACTTACACCGCAGCAAAAAGAAAATAGACTCAAAAGAGCTAAAGAGTAGCTTCGCTTGGCCGAAAGTGGTGAACTGCCGAATTTGGTTTTCTCCGATGAGAAAATATTCGTTGTCCTGCTGTTTGTAAACAAAGAAAATAATTGTGTTTACTTGCCAAAGAGGTCAGCTGAAAATGTACAGCTTCGGTTGGCCACCAGGACTCAAGTGCCGGCCATGGTGATGGTGATGCTGTGGGCCGCCATAACAGCCGGTGGTCGCTCTCAGCTCGTATTAATCAACCGTGGCATTAGAAAAAATGCCGAATATTATCGCGAAAATATTCTGGGAGGTGTATTAAAGCCTTGGGTATGCAAACATTTTGGCCGAAGACCTTGGACATTCCAACAGGACATTCCCTCAGCACTAATGCATTTTGCACGCGTCACCCCAAGAATGGTTACAACATGAAGTTCCTCACGTCATTTCCAGCGCACAATGGCCACCAAAATCTCCGGATACCAATCCGTTGGACTATTGTGTCTGGAGTATTTTGGAAAGCAAGTTTGGCACTAAAAAATACTAAAGTATGGATCATCTCAAGCAAGCACTTCGCCGGGAATGGGCCAAAATAGCGCAGAGCAACATCCGGGCAGTGTGTGACAGTTAGCCGTTTGAAGCTCATACTTCGTGCCAAAGGTGAACAATTCGAAGAAATCTAAACTTATTCATGTGACGGTGTCATTGGTCGTCGAAGCTCGAAGGTGGGCTATATTGGTGCACGATATCGTATAGCTCACATATAACAGTACCTCCCTAAATTCGGCATTTTGATGACTGTAGTTAAATTTTTCAATGAAATTGTCTGAAAATCCGCAAAAGAAGTTCCTTCTAAGCACTTTATCCCCCTGGAAGAGTACGGTCTATATAGGTCCACGATATCGTATATATATAACGGTACCTCCATTTTAGGCCATAATTCTTGCCAGAGGTGATCAATTCGATCCAATCTAAAGTTATTCTAAAATTTGATATTCTTTCCGACATTTTTTGGTTTCACTCAATAAAATGTAAAAAAAAAATAAAATTATGGCGTTTGGCTTTGTTGCAATTTTTTATCTCACCCTGTATTTCACTCAACTGCTAAGCTCACGAAAATAAAATTAAAAAAAAATCTTTTTACATTTTAAAATTAAAAAAATTGATTTTTTTTCCAAATGTGTCTGTGTGAGTTGTCTTTGGGTTTTCAACAACAAATAGTGCAGATTTTTTTATAAATCATTTAACAGTTTTGGTTCTTTTTTTTTGTTTTTCGAAAAAAATCGTGTGTTGGTGTGTTTTTAAAAAAATGTGTGTTGGAAATTCAATTTTTACAAAATTTCGAAATAATAATTTCAATACAACTCTTAGGAAATATAAAAATTTTGGTTTTCAAGGTACTCACCTAGAGAAAACTTCTTTCAGCTCGTGCTCGGACACAAACTGGCCCAAATTGGCTACAAACAATGTCGAACATGGTGCATTGGCAGCCAAGGGTGGATTATTTGGATGCGTTGCATTATTTGTAGAACCAACTGGGCTCGCTAGAGCGGGACTTGATAAAAAAGGATGATGTGCGTGTGGACCACCCGTGGGTGGGGCGCCACCCGTTGGACCAGATGCCCCGGCACCTGGTGCCAAACCGGCAGCGGCAGCTGCGGCGGCGGCAGCAGCCGACATATGCATAGATGGGTGTATAGCTTGGGTTGTTTGATGATGTTGCGGCATGGTCATTTGAGTCTGCAAATAAAATCGCAAAATTAAATAATCTATTTCGAAACTCTTCTCTTCTTGCAATACTCACTTGATGCATTGGCTGTTCCATAACTTTATCTGTATTTAGTCAAAGATAAGAGCGTACTGGCACTTGAGGATGCAGTGCCGGATGCACGAGTGTGGCATGCTGCAATGCCGCAGCGCCGGGCAATTCAGCGGCTGCCGCCGAATAGGCTAACGGATGATGCCATAGCTCGGGTCCGCCCGGAAAGAAGGGACCGCCCAAATCTACATGTTGATTATGAGAGAGAAAATAATTGTCTTTTGTTAAAAAACAATCGAAAACGAGAAGAAGGGGAAAAACAAATATAGTTGCCATAAATCATAGTTTTTTTTAATAAATATTATGTCAAATATTATTAACGAAATTAATTTGGAAATTATTTAATTTTTTTTGCATTTTTTTTATTATTTTTGTTAACGTTTGGCTTTATTTTTGTTTTATTTGACAGGTGTGGAATGAGTTTTTGTTTTGAGTAATACACGGAATTTTTGTTAGCATAAAATAATTAAATTAAATTTTTTGGAACAATTATTTTAAAAGAGGGGTTTTCATTGTGGGAATATATAAAAAATATAGTTTTCTAGGATTTATCTTATAATTTCCCATAAGAATGCGTAGGGAGAAAAAATATTAAATAATTCAAGTTTGTTGCTTAAGTCTTATGATCTCTTCCGAAAAAGTTCTATATTCAACAAAGAAAAATTGATTTTTCTCAGAGCTCTGAGGTACATGTCTCCCCTATATTTAGAATTTATTTTCTCTTGGAAGATTTATTTTCTAGGGAAGCAAAGGAAACAAGAAAGAGAGAGAGAGAGGGAGAGAAAGTGGTAAACTCAAATCTTCATGGGAATCATGTCCATTTATCTCTTTAAGTCTCACATCAAGTTTGTTTCTTAAGTCTTTTGTTTTGTGTAAATTCTGCACAAGAAATCTGGACTATTATCTATGCAGAAAATATCTTCCACGAATCGAAAACCCACAAATGGCATCAGAGTATCTTCATATAACTTAGGTAAGATATCATAAAATTATTTTGCATTTCTCTCAGTAGAAGATCGTATCAAGATCTTCTGTAAAGTACATTTTTCAATTTTTTATTTTATTTCTTTATTAAAAGACCCTTTTCCGACCCATCCATAGCTATTGACTCCTCCAGGTCCTTGCCTCCTCCAGGTCTTTTTTTTGGATTAAAACCACTATAAATCGATAGAAGACATATTTTATGCCCGCTATGAAGGATTTCTTTAGATATGTCTTGTGAAAAAAAATCTCAAGCTTTCTACAGAGAGATATATTTCTTCAGATCTTCTCAGAATGATAGACCTTCATCAGATATTCTGGGGGGATAGACGGCATTCTTTTTGTCCTGTCAGGCTTTTAACAAAGTAAATTTTCTACAGATATAAAACTTTTTGCAGGCCTTTAAAGGATGACAGGGCTTCTGGGAAAAGAGAAAACCTTCTTCAGGTGAATACTTTCTCCGAGTCTTCTATTGATAGAAACTGTAAAGATTTTCTTCTTTTTCTCATCTTTTAATGTCTGGTCTTTTTGGGAAAGTGAATATTCTTATGGCTTTCTTTGGATATAGGATTTTCTTAGGCTTATAGAACTCCGACAGAGCTTCTGGAAAGAGAGAACCATTTTCTATGGAAAAAATCATCTTTAGGTCTACCAGATATAGAACACATTTCTCTTCTAGGATTGGAAGTTTTTTTTTTTTTAGATCTACCAGACATGGTAGACTTATATTTTCTTTTTCTCAAGTAATTTTAGGAAAGAAAACGTTTTAAAGATTTTCACGGACCGATGACATTTTCACGTCGTCTTAGGCATGATAGATCTTTGTCAGGACTTGCGGAGAAACATCCCCTTCTTTAAGTCTTTTTTGGAGAACTAGACTCTCCCCTGAATGATGGTTCGAATAGACGAAATTTTCCTAAAAACCAGAGACAAACTCCTAACCAAGTGAATACTTTCTCTTCTAGGATTGGAAGATCTTTTTCAGATCTACCAGACTTTTATTTTATTTTTCTCAAGTGTTTTTAGGAACGAAAACCCTTTTAAGATTTTCACGGATCGATGATATTTTCACGTCATCTTATCATGACAGATCTTTGTCAGGACTTCTGGAGTAAGAGCCCCTTCTTTATTTTTAATTAATTTTTTTTTTTTTGGAAAATTAGACTCTGTCCTGGAAGATGGTCAGAAGCATGTCTTCTTCGCATAGACGGCATTCTCCTAACAACAGGAGATAGCCTCCTAATCACAGAATATATGGAGAAAGTCTTCTATCCACAGAAAATCTGAAGAAGTTTCTTTATCCGTAAATGACTGGAAGAATGATGAAAACGTGGAGAAAGTATTCTTTTTGGACGCCTCAAATATCTTCTTTTGATCGAAGTATTCCATTTTCTTCTTCTGTGGACATATTAACCAAGTTATTCGTGCTTCCGATAGACAAAATACTTCGTGCGTATATTCTTTACGATGCCGTAAAAATTCAGCTTTGTGTTAAATTTTTGTAATTTTTTTTTAAGTTTAAGAAGGCATCTGAAATCAAAAGGGGGCTTTTATTGTAGGGAGTTCTTAGAAAGTCAGCTTTGTGTAAAATTTCTGTAATTTTTTTTTTGGTTTAAGAAGGTTGTCGCTCCTAACAAATAAGGGTCTTTTATGTACGATGGAATGAATTTCCCATCCCTGACAATTGGAAATTGAGGGTCAATTCTTTGTTGTGCAATTAACGTTATATCTCTAAGAACGTCGGAAATACTCTGTGAGCAGAAAGTCTTCAGTAAGTCTTATTATTACGGAAGACGGCGGAATATATTATGTCCAGATTTTATTTTAAATTAAAGTATTTTTGTTTTCTTTCAAAGAAAAATTTTTGGAATGGGACCTCCGTTGAAGATCTGCGAAAGGATTTCTCTTAATAGAGGAGCTGAGAGAGAGGAAAGGTATTTAAACATTTCTTTTTTATGTAAAAGTTCTAAAAAGGCCTGGAAAACGGCCTTTTATTCGATGGACTGAATCTCCCATCCCTGTCTTTTTAAATACCACATTTTATGCTATCTTTAAATAGGAGAGCAATTTTTTAGCAATTTTCGCTCTCTACCTTTCTACGCTAGTCTACGCCTTTTAAAGGTGGATTCCACGTTTGTTGCTTAAGTCTTTCGATTTATTCCATTCCAATGTCTCTAATTGATATCATAGAGAAATATAACCTTTAGCTCTGAGAGTAAACGGCGACTCAATTCACGATTAACAACATTGCAAGTTTGTTGCTTAAGTCTTTTGTTTTGAATTGATGTTTTCATAGAGAAATTGCCATACTGTTCTCTTGCTCTCTCTCTCTCTCAGAGATAGAACTTTCGTTGCAAATGAAGTTTGTGTCCTAAGTCTTTATACTTTAATAAGTGCCTCTGTTATTTTTCTAAAGACAGAGATTGTGGGTTTTACTTCTTCTCGCTATTGCTATCCCAGTGTGTGTTTCTGTGTATGTGTGAGTGTTTCTTGTGAAGATGTTTACCATGTGTTCATACGTGTTCAGTGTGAGTTATGTGACATACATGTGTTTGAATGCTTAAATGCTTTCTTCTTATTTAGATTTTGTTTTTTTTTGTTTTTTTTTAAGAGGGATTTGAAGAGGTTTCCATTGGGAGTGAGAGCAGTGAGATATATATGTTTGAGAGAAAGAGAATATATACTTTTAATTGGTTTCAAGTGCCTTACAATTAAATATTGCATGAATGTTTTTTTTTCTTGAAGTGAAGTTGAATTCATTTTTTAAAGATAGAAAGAAATGGGATTTTTTTAAAGGGTTCCTTTAGAGATTGTTGTTGTTTTTGTGTGTGTGTGAACTGTGTACTATATTTGAGGTTATATAAATTTCATTATTGTGCTTCATTGGAAAGCTTGTAGAGATTTTATTTTTTGGGTTTCTTTAATAAAAAATCACTCAGTAAAAAATCACAAGTATCTGGTCTTATACCAAATCAAAATACATTGACGAATTTCTGTTTTTGTAAAACCAAAAGTTAAGGTGCAATTTTTTCCTTGATGTTATAATTTATTTGGAATACAATATTTATTTATTTTGAATAAATGGAGGAGTTGCAATAAATTTTTTCAGTTAAGGAAACATATTTAAACATTTTCTTGATAAATATTTTAATTTCAGATTTTCTAAAACAATTCCTCCATTTATAGGCTTTAATTCTTATTTTTATTTTTTTTTTACAACAAACTAAAAAACAAAACTACAAAACATAAAAAACATAACCAAAAACAACATTTAAAACCAAAAGGAATATTTGTAACAAAACAAAAATTGTTGTTTGTTTTTTTTTTCTTTTGTTTACTTAAAATTTACTTACGTCCAGTGAGTGGGTGCATCAATGCAGGATGTGAGGCTGTTGTCGCTGTATTGGGCTGTGGTTTGGGTTTGCTCACTTTCGTGTTACTCTTGGCGAATTCCAAGCGTATTGTTTGGGGCATATCGGGATCGAAGCGTACACCCTGCTGTAAATTCAATAATACAGCGGTTGGTATTTTGTTTTAAAAATTATTTTTTTTTGTTTTTTTTTTTTTTGTTAAAAAAATTTGCTGTGTTAAATTGTAAGTTATTTTGTATCTCTTCGAATATTTTTCCTTATTTTTGGAAAATTTGTTTATTTAAATTAAAAATGACCTTTTTTATTTAAAAAAATTGATTTGTATTCAATGTCTTAACAATTCGCCAAAAATAATTATTCATTACTTTCATTGCTATTGGTGTATTTTTGGTGATTCTTTTTTTGTTATAAATTATTGGACTATATTATATATTTATTGGCATTAACAATATATGCATTATTGTTGTTGGTATTTTTTCTTTCAGATTCCATTCTGTGGTTTTATCAAGGAAAGGGGGGGGGTCTAGAGATAACTATACTTCATTTTGGGGCTAGGTGCACAAAGAAGGGGTTTCTTGGAGATTAAAGAACAAGTTGTGCTGCTTTTTACTTAAAATTACTAAATAGGGCTGGCCTATGTGGAAAATAAAGGGGGTCAATACAGCCGTATCTATAAATATAAAAAAAAATCTAAAAATCATTACAGGACCTATTTTCTATAGAAAAACAATTCGCAATAAGAAATCCTCAGTGACTCGAAACCTGATGTTTTTCTATAGAGAAAAAAATCGTCAGAAAAAAAAAATCCTCAGTTACTGTGGACCAATTCCTCATTTTTTTCTATAGAAAAAATCTTCAGTTATTGAGGATAAATTTTTTTCTATAGAAAAAAATCTTCAGCTATTGAGGATAAATTTTTTTCTATAGAAAAAAAATCCTCAGCTATTGAGGATAAATTTTTTCTATAGAAAAAAAATCCTCAGCTATTGAGGATAAATTTTTTTCTATAGAAAAACAATCTTCAGCTATTGAGGATAAATTTTTTTTCTATAGAAAAAAAATCCTCAGCTACTGAGAACCAGTTGTTTTCCAATCCTCAATAACTGAGGACATTTTTTTTTCTATAGAAAAAAATCCTCAACTGCTAAGGACCAATTTCGTTTATAGAACAAAATCCTCAGGTTCTGAGGACCAATTTTTTTCTATAAAAAAATCCACAGCTTCTGAGGACCAATTTTTTTCTATAAAAAAATCCACAGCTTCTGAGGACCAATTTTTTTCTATAGAAAAAAAAAAATCCTCAGCTTCTGAGTGCCAATTTTTTTCTATAGAAAAAATCCTGAGGCTCGATTTTTTTCTATAGAGAAAAAAATCTTCAGTGAACTAAGGCTCGATTTTTTTCTATAAAGAAAAAAATCCTCAGTGGACTGAGGCTCAATTTCTTTCCTCAGTGAACTGAGGCTTGATTTTTTTTCTATAGTAAATAATCTTTTGTTCCATCGCAGTTCCCGATTATCTTCAGTTCATCAAGCTTCCCGATTATCCTTTAATTGTCTACAACCCGAAGATCCACATCGTAATACACGAACATCCGATTTTTTTCTGTAGATTTTTTTTGTAGATTTTTTTATAGATTTTTTTTTCAATATTTTTTTTTCTGAAGACTTTTTTCTCTGTCATTTTTTGAAATACAATTCATTTTTAACAATTCCCATTTAATTAAAAATACAATTCTTTTAACCTTTCCGCTCATTGAAAAATCTTCGCTGAATAGGACCCCCAGTGCCAGCACACATGTAAACCAATTTATTATTTGGGCAAATAAATAATAATTTAAAAATAAAGAAAATTAATGATGATTGGTAGGGAAATTTAGAACAAAAATTCTAGAAAAAGATAAATTGGAAAAAAATACAAAAAAAAAATTTTTCAAGAAAAAAATTTCGAATTAAGCGAATATGGTGGCTAGGTGTAATGGGCAAGTCGAGTGAATTAATCAAAGTTGATATATGTGGAGCAGGCACAACAGCATTTTGTTTTGAATAGAGAAATATAATTTTTTACAGAGAAAAGAAAAATGCAGACCTCAAATGCAAAGGATTTGGGTGCTGGGAACCGACCAGTAGAATGACATTCCGAATACACCCGAATTTCTGCTGAGGGGGGCATTCAAAAGAAATTTTTTATTTATGGTGCAAGTTTTACAAATGATGTTGGTGGTGGTGGTGGTGACGACGGTGTACAATACCAAAAGATGAAGGAGAAGGCAGACTTTTAGAGAGCAGTAAGGCAGAAAATTAAGTGGGGACAGCAAGCTAGAGACGACCCCAAAAACATATGCATTAAATGATTTACGTTTTGAAAGGCGACGGTTTTCATTGAACAAATAGATGTGTGAATGTGGTGCGAAAACTAAAAAAAAAATCCCACATAATAAATCAAGCAATTTATTTATGTTTTCTATTTCAAACTTTTTTTTTTTTTGGTTTCTCAGCTGGGTAGTGAAACTTATTATTTCTTGTCTTATACCACAGGCATTTTGCTTACATAAATCATATATATTTTCTTATTTATATATTTTTCTTATACTTTTGCAAATAGGTGTTGTGCATTTGGTAGCAAGCTATTTAGATTCGTTTCTCTTTCTTTGCTAATCTGTTCTAAAGACGTTTTTTATTTAATTTTTTTGCAATTGTTTCTTCTAAAGTTATACAAAATAGTTTACAATTTTTTGGGTTTTTGTTAGTTTAAATATTTTTCTTTAAATAATCATAATTTTATTTTATTTTTTTTTTATTACCTGTAAATCTTGTTTGGCGGCCTCAGCGCCCGCACGTGTATGGAATGTAACAAAACCAACAGGCTGTGGTTGTGTTTCAAATTTCAGTTGCACAGGGAACCATTTAGTGAGTGTATCGTGTGTGTTTTTTTGGTTGTTGTTGTTGTGGTGAGAGATATATAGAGAGAGTGGGTGTATTTTGAGGGGGGAGAGAATAAAAAAAAAAACGGTATACAAAAATTCATTTAGCATAAGTAATGTGATATATTTTTATTTGAAAAATAAAAATTTTAATGATTTTTCAACATAGCTAAGATATAATGATTCTCAATTTTCCGAATACTCACCGATGCTGTCTTGCCATTTTTGCTGGTAACTTTTAATAGAGATCCTTCATAGCCCTGGAAATTAGAAAAAAAGAATAAAATTTAATTCATGGAAATACGTTGTTTAATAAAGAAAGGAAGATACAATGTGTGGTGCATGCTTTTAGGCGCAATATTGTGGTAAAATAAAACAATACTCCCAAAATATTATGGGATAGGAAAAAGGGAACTTCCCTATTATGGAATACCGTGGATTTGGTTCCGGATTATTGCCGAAATATTCTGAAACGTTTTCATAGTGTAATAATGAGAGATATCTTGACCTTATAGCCCCATGACTTCTTTTTCAACCATACTGCTACATTAATTGCCACATGCTTTTTATTGGGATTCGACATTTTCTTAAATTCAGATAAATATTGGAAATTTTGTGAAAAAAATTTAAAAATATTTTTTTTTTTTTAAATTAAATTTGTAGAACGTTTTCTGTAGCTAATGCATACTTTCAGGCGAAATGGTCAGACACAAAAAAAAATCGGAGAAAAATTATAGTGGTTAGGAAGGGAAATTAAGACGCAAATGTTAAATTTCGTCATTTTCTTTCCCTCTCCCTCGTCATTGCTTGATTAGCAGAAAATAAAATAAAATCTATTGCATACTTCTAGGCTTTCCAAATGATCTTTTTCGCACAACAAAAAAAATCGCCATAGAGAATATGATTTTTATGTACAGGAAGCACATATAGTATTTTTAATATATGTCTTTTTCGCTTCTTAAGTTGCATAACGTACATGGTGCATACTTTTAGGCCCTAATTTTTTTCAAGGATCATCTGAACAAATCGGAACATTTTCTATATCTAAACTAGTTTTTCAAAATTTCCCTTCCAACATTTCTTTTGAAAAAACTAAATTCGTTAAAGGGATGCATAGTTTTAAGCTTCCCAAAGAAAAATGTGTCAGACACAGAAAACTTTATTAAAAAAGGAAGAGAAATGAGACCACAGTTGGAAAATTCTCTTCAGCTTTCTCTCTCTTAAGGTGATGTCTGGAGTGGACTTTTAGGTTCAGTAAACGCTTTTATTTGCTCTTATCCAAATATGTGTTTTTTTTTAAATACCACTTCCATGTTTTGATATGATATTCGTAGAAAAAATTACAATAACTGATGCATACTTCTAGGCGTATGAGGTCTAAGTGTGTTAGCTGATAGTTGAGAGAAGAGAAGATGAGAACATAAATATTTAAAATGTTCTTCAGTTTTCTATTTTTCACTCTTTTGCTCTTTTCTCTCACAAATACTTAACTTCTTTCATGTCTCTTATTCTGAAGTCAGATAAAAAGATATGATGATTTTATGAAGAGGATGGATAAAAAATGTCGGGTTTTTTTTCAAAAACAACAGATTACAATGTTTGCTGCATACTTCTAGCCTTTTTTATGTTTTTCCTTTGTTTGTTTTTTGGGATAATATGAGCTATGTCCCTTTTATACCCTCAACTATAGGGCAACATAGGGTATATAATATGACTCGGTCAAAATGTGCCTCATCGAAGTAAAGGATTCAGACCCTAGGTCTCTTTGGACTAAATCCGTTTCAGGCCATTTTTAGTCGTCTGTCTGTCAGTATGGCTGGTGTGCGACAACTCTCGAAGGAAGCATTCGATTTAATCCAAACTTGGTACATCGTAACATTATTGTCAAACTTAGATCGTGATCGAAGATAGGCAATATCAGTCCACTCCTTTTTACAGAAAATAATTTAGCTCATGGGACAAGAAATTATCATCCAATTTTATGTACTTTTTTCAAATCCTAATATTTTTATAAGTGTTAGGTCAGATGCGAAAATGGACAATATCGGCCTACTCCGTTAAGTACATTCCCCGAGTAAAAATTTCGAATAATTATGACTCTCATAAAATGCGAAATAAGCATCCGATTCTCATTAAATTTCAGATATCCCAATATTTCTACCAACACAAGATCTGATAGGGAAAACGGATAGAACGGACCACTCCTTCTGGACAATATTGGCGTACTCCTGAGGAATGTAAGTCAAAATATATTTCAATAAACGAATATTGGCTAAGGGTATACAGCTGTCGGCAAAACCGACCGACTGATACTTTTTAACTTTTTTTAAATATATTAAAGGAAGCCTAATTTTTTTAAATTAATCGCGGATTTTTTCTTTATTTTTTTTTGTAATTTTTTTAAAAATTGTCGCTTTTTAAAAATTTTTGGAGATTTTTGGATTTTTAAAAAAATTTTATAAGAAAAGGATTTCTGAAAAATATTTTTTAGGAAGTGCGACTATTTTTTAAATTATTTATGAATTCTGATTTTTTTCAAATATTTTTGTATAAGTACTCTCCGATTTCTGTAAATTGAAAAAAAGTTGTTTTAAAATTTTTTCATTCGGGGATTTTTTTAAAATATTTTTCATGAATCGTGGATTTCTTTTGTATTATTTAATTTTTATCCGAGCCTTAATGGAGTAACTTTAAAGAATATTTTTATAGGAGCAGCATCTGAGCAGCATTCGTAGATTTTTTAGAATACTTGTATGGAGCTAACTATTTATTAGTGAAACAAAATTATAATGTTTTTCTAGTATGATTTTATTATTGTTTTAATTTTAAATTTTTAATCGCAATAACTTCGAAAGAAATAATGCAGTCCCCAAACGGCCCTTGTAAGTCATCATCCACATCATATGTTTGGTGAGCAGATTAGCCAACGACGAATGGGGTTGTAAAGTGGTGAGTGTATGATATTGCTATTCTGGTTTTTCTTTTCTGTTTCATTAAAAAAAGTATGTTTGAACCACTATTTATATAATAGGAATTTTATTGGATATTAAAAATGTATATATGTATATATATATTTTTTAATTCTTATGTATTTTTATATTTCTCAAATGATTTTAAAAAAATTTAAGTTGAAAAAAATTGGAAAGCCTTTCAAGAATTTTTTAATATTTTTGCTTGGTGTTTTCCACAGCTAAATCAAATATTTAAAATGTATAGAAGACCCAGTGCCTTTTAATTAAATTGAAAGCTTTAAAATACATGTATGATGCATACTTTAGGGCAAGACTTTTGTAACATCTAAGAAGTTATAAAAAATATATCCTTCTCTCCTGGGGAGAGAAAAATATAATTTTTAAACATTTTTGCTAAAATTAGTAAATGATCAACTAATTCTATCAAATTTAAAAACAGTTAATTTTTAGTGCATACTTTTAGGATAATTGTATTTTTATTTTTAAATTATTTTAGATGATATAGTTATATCCTAAAACAAATATATTTTTTTTAACTTACCTCATAAGCTCTGAATAACAAATACAGTTCACGTGGTTTTGCATCCATGGGCAGACCACTGACGAAAAGGGTTCGAACCTGGAACAATAAAGGAAAAAAATAATAATATTAGAAAAAAATAATAAATGTATATTTTTATGTAAAACGTAAAACTCATTTAAATATTCAATTATTTAAATATTTAAATTTAAAACAAAAATATATATAAATCACATTCCCGACTTGAAAACATTTCCCTGTTTAAATACTCCCCTTAGCATCTTCATCCCGTTAACACTTTATTATTACACCAAATAATATAGTGTGCCGATGTGAACACCTAATTAGCGTTAACCAGCTCATGTGAACTCTTGGCAAATATTTAAAATATGCACAAAAACAACGTTTATATGTATGTGTGGTTAATATGGAAAAAAGTCACACACAATGATGTAAAATGAGTGGAAAAAACAAAGACTAGCAAGTAGAATCTCTTGCATTGCCACTTGAACGTTTGGCCAAAGTTCATGTTCCCCAGCGGTGGCGAGGCGTAAAGGTTGAACGTGTGGGACAATGTTAGAACAAAGGGGTAAAAAAAGAAGAAGATAACATCTCGTCTTCTGTTTTCCTCTTTTTGCCTCATTTTCTCTGGGTTAAGCAAGCAGCCAGCAAGCCAACCAACAACCCCAAAAGGTTTGTAACATAAAATGCAACAACAAAAAAAATGTGGGAGTGAGAGAAAATAACCAAAGTTGGAGAGGGCTTGGGTTGGGGGTGTGTGTTTGTGCTTTAGTAGCTTTCAACATTACACACAAACCTCTTAACCAACAAAGTATGGCAGCCAACAACACATTCTCGTACAACAATATCATCATGTTAATGGTAATGAAGCCAAAAACTGTGAATGAGCCAAAGCCAAAATGGTACATTTTTTTAAGATGGGGAAGAGGTTAACATGGATGTGGAGGGGGAATGGGGTATTTCATAAGGGGGATTAAATTTCAAAAGAGTTTAAAAGAAATATATTTTATATAAAAAATATAGGTATTTAAAAGAGAACCGGCGGAATAATAAACAAAATGTATCCAATATAAATAGGTGACTTTTATCCTGATTTGCTTAAAGGGTTTCTCAACCGGACACCTATACTAACACAGACTATGGCTTCAGACCTATATTTAATAAAACAATTCGATTCCCATATTCCCAGAACAATATAGAATCAGATCAATTTATGAGTATTTTTGCTTTTCAAAATTTGGACCCCATTGAGAGGGAGGAACCAGAAGGAGTAAACCGATATGTACCATCTTTACAAAAGCTTTTGTTTTAGCAAAAATATTGATATGTGAGAAATTTGAAAAAAATTTAATGCTTATTTTGATACTTATGAGAATTATAATTTTTCAAAATTTTGACTCCTTTGTGGGGGAGGTACCAGAAGGAGTGGACTGATATCTACCATCGTCACACCTGATTTTGAACTGGAGGAAATATTGAGATAGTTGACATTTGAAAAGAATCGTATGCTTATTTCGCATTTTATGAGCGTTTTAATTATTCAAAATTTTGACCCCTATGTGGGGAAGGTACCAGAAGGAGTGAACCGATATATACCATCTTCACACCTGATTTTGAGCTGGTGGAAATATTGAGATAATTGACATTTGAGAAGAATCGAATGCTTATTTCACATTTTATGAGCATTTCATTTGTTCAAAATTTTGACCCCTATGTGGGGGAGGTACCAAAAGGGGTGGACTGATAAACCCCATCTTTACATCTGATCTTAAGCTAGTAGAAATATTGAAATGTGTAAAATTTGAAGTGGATCGGATGCTTATTTCGCATTTTATGAGCATTTCATTTATTCAAAATTTTGACCCCTATGTGGGGAAAGTACCAGAAGCAGTGGACTGATATACCCTATCTTTACACTTGATCTTGTGTTGATAGAAACATTGGGATGTGCTGAGTTTGAAAGGTACTAGATGTATATTTCTCAGGTTATAAGCGTTTTAGTTATTAAAAAATTTGACCCCTATATGGGGGAGGTATGAGAAGGAGTGGGCCAACAAATCTTGTGTTGGTAGAAATAATGGGATATTTGAAATTTGAAGAGAATTGGATGCTTATTTCAGGTTTTATAAGAGATATAAATATTCAAAATTTTGTCCCCTATGCGGGGGAGGTACCAGAAGGAGTGGACAGATAACTACCATTTTCACACCAGATTTTGTGTTGATAGAAATATTGGGATGTGCTGAGTTTGAAAGGAATCGGATGCGTATTTTGTATTTTAATGAGAGTTTTAATTATTCGAAATTTTGACCCCTATGTGGGAGAGGTACCGGAAAGGGTGGGTCGATATCTATCATCTTCACACCAGATTTCGAGTTGGTAAAAATATTGGAATGTGCAGAGTTTGAAAGGAATCGGATGCTTCTTTCGCATTTTAATGGGAATTATAATTATTCAAAATGTTGACCCTTTGTGGCGGAGGTACTTGATGGAGTGGGGCGATATTGTCCATTTTCGCACCAGTCCTAGCAATGATAAAAATATTAGGATTTGCAAAGTTTGCACGAAATTGGATGGTCGTTACTTTTTCTATGAAAAAATTGACATTTTGTGGGGGAGGTATCAGAATAGAGGGACCGATATTGCCCATTTCCGAATTCCATCCAATTTTGATAATAATGTTACAATGTACCAAGTTTGGAGCATATAGGATGCTCCTTTCGAGAGTTATGGTGCCCACCAGCCATACAGACAGACATCCCTATATCGATTGCAAATGTCCTGGTCCAAAGAGCCCTAGGTTCTAAAATTGTTATTTAGATGAGGCACGTTTTGGCCGTATCAAATGATAGCCATATAAAAGGCGATTCAATTGCATTTTCCAAAACCTGTTAGACCTTGAAGATGGCCTAGGATGAATTGTCCTTGAATTGTCCCAAAACAAGAGAATGAACCCGAAAACTCTTCTTCTCCCTAGGTTAGTCATGGTATTTTATATCCTATATGTTTTAATTAGATCTCTTCGTGATTGAATAAGAAGTGTGAATTAGAATGGATATATGAGTCAGTCTTTTTATAATACTCCCCTCCTAGCTTTTCCAACAATTTCCCGCTATTTCTGCCCCAGAAATTCTCCCCACCTGTACGTTGACTTCATAAAATTCGCTGGCATGTATAGGGCAACAAAGCTACAAACAAAAGCGTCGAACACAACAAATGCACATTCCAAAAAAAAAAAAAACAAAAAAAAAAAAAAAAACCGGAAGGTCCTCTGCTCGCTGAATTCATTAAGGATATGCGAACAATTTTTTGTAAGTTCGTTTTTTATTCATGGCATGACATTTTAACGCTAGATACTGATGTAATGATTATCCATTTAGGTTACACCGTAAAATAAAGGTGGGGAGGGGAATGGAAGGTAAATGGTGGCTGGGAATTTTTCGTCGAGTTGTTTTTCTCCTTCTTTTTGAGAGCATTTTTACACCACCATTTACGGGCAAAACGTTTATATGAATATGCAATTTGTGAAAGCACGTGGCTTATCGTAAAATCTTCTGTTTGCTAGCGGATACTTCGTGTAAAATGTCACATTTGTGCGTTGGTTCGTTCATTCGTTTTCTTTTTTTCGACGAATTCTCTCCATCATTTCGCTAATGTTAGTCACACCTCAGCGGTGGGAAAAATATTGTAACTGTCATAAAATTGTATTTAAAAAATATGTGTGTTTTGTGTTGGGAAATATTTTTTTGATGAGGTAACCAAAAAAAATCGGATGGAAAAATAATGGCAGCAAATGACATCAAAAAATTAAAAAAACGGTGTCTACTTTTAGGCTTTATGAAGTGTAAGGGCGAAATGTGAGATAATAGCACAAACATAGCATCGATTTTAGTTAAGGTCAGTGATATTAGGGAATAGTGTCTACTTTTAGGCTAAGAAAAAATGGGAATTCTCAATAGTGATTATCATTCTGTGATACTTTGGGAATGGTGCCTGTTTTTGGCTAAGCAAAAAATGGGAACTTTTAGTAGTGATTTATATTTTCGATGGAAGTTACCTAAATTATCACTCTTTGTTACTTGTGAATGGTGTCTACTTTTAGGCTATAAAAATATGGAAATTTTCAGTAGTGATTACCATTCTATGATATTTTGGTAATGTTGAAGGCTAAGAAAAATTAGAATTTTTATTAGTTATGTGCCTACTTTTAGGCTAAGAAAAATAGGAATTTTTAGTAACGATTTATATTTTCGATGGAATCTATCTAAATTCTCAATCTGTGGTATTTAAGAATGGTGCCTATTTTAATGCAAAGAAAAAAATAACAAAACGGTGTCTAATTTTAAGTTTTATGAACTGTAAGGGCGAAATGTTGAGATAATAAACCAAAAATAACCTCGATTTTAGCTTATGTCTTTGGTATTTGGTATTGGTGTCTACTTTTAGGCTAAGAAAAAATGAGAATTTTCAGTAGTGATTACCATTCTGTGATATTTTGGGAATGGTGCCTACTTTTAGGCTAAGAAAAAATGGAAATTTTTAGTAGCGATTTACATTTTCGATGGAAGTTACCTAAATTATCAATCTGTGGTACTTGGGAATGTTGCCTACTTTTAGGCTATAAAAATATGGAAATTATCAGTAGTGATATTTTGGTAAAATTGCCTACTTTGAGGCTAAAAAAAATGAGAATTTTTATTAGTGATACACAACTTCCATGGAATGGTAATCTCCACTGAAAATAACCATTTTTTCATAGCCTAGAAGTATGCAACATTCCCAAATACCAAAGATTGTTAATTTCTATGGAAGTTATCTAAATTAACAATCTTTGGTATTTGGGAATGTTGCATACTTCTAGGCTAAGAAAAATGGTTATTTTCAGTGGTGTCTACTTTTAGGCTAAGAAAAATGAAAATTTTTAATAGAGATTTACAATTTCGATGGATGTTATCTAAATTATCAAAAAAGAAGTAAAAAAACAGTTCCACCTTCATTTGGAAGGATCTCGAAAAATGTCAAAAAAGCTGTCCAAAATGCCTCTTAAATTAAAACCGTTAAATGGAGGCTATACAAAG